ATATATACATATGTGTGTGTGTGTGTGTGTGTGTGTGTGTGTACAATTTACTGAGTCCAATTAGTGTTACCTGTATATGCATATATTTAGGCCTGACCACTTAAAACTGGGAAACTTTCAGAGGGCTCATCCCAGTAGAAAACCTATTCTCCCTCCCTCAGCAGCCATTAAGACTGCCTATAGCTCTTCATCTGGGGGGCTGGGCCTTGTGAAATTTTTCCCCATCCACATTGACATGTCAACTTGTGTGGTCATTGTTCAAGTCTTGTGCAGGCAGTCATGTTGTTAATATTTTATGGGAGGAACACTCCCATCATGTCTAAGAGACACTATCTATCTTAGTAGTCATTCTGGTTATTTGGCACTTAAAATCTTTCTGCTCCCTCTTCTGTGCTAGTCCCCTTAGATGCAGACGTTGTGTTTTAGATGCCCCAATTGGAGCTGGGCACCCCATGATCACTTTGCACTTTGACTAGTTGTGGATTTCTGTACTAACTTTGCATGCTCCAAAAATAAGTTTCTTTGGTGAGCAGTGAGAGTTACGCTTTTTTTTTTATTTATTTAATTTAATTTTTTTTGTCTTTTTGAGACAGGGTCTCCCTGTAGCCCCAGCTGTCCTGGATTCACCATGGAGACCAGGCTGGCCTCGAACTCACAGAGATCCGCCTGCCTCTGCCTCCCGAGTGCTGGGATCAAAGGCATGTGCCCGGCGAGCTACGCTTTTGTATCGGTGTAAGGATAAGTGTTTAGAACACGATTGGAAACTATATCAATTAGGGCAATGGCAGCAGTAGGTTCTCCTATAAGACCTATGACTTCTTCATCCACGGGCTCTTGGCTAGGTTTACAGTACCTAGCAGCCAGTACCGTGATTTCTTCCTATTGAGTGGGCCTTGAGTCCAATTAGTCAGCTGTTTGTTGTCTTCAAGGTAATAGTGCCGGTATTGTATCATTGGGACTATCTTACTGAGCTAGTCGTTGCTGTGGTTTGCAGACTTTCAGCTGAATACAGTTTCATCTTTTCCCACACACCCTCTCCAACATTTCTTGTCTCTTTTAATGATGATCATTCTCACTTCCCTACCCATCTTAGCACAATATTACTACTACCAAGGATTCGGAATATATTTTAATTTTCTATGTTTTGTGTTTTTCTTAACAGAATCCTGAGCCTGGCTTCTTTCACTCAACACTATGTTTGTGCTATCCATTTGTGTTGCTGTATATGGTTGTAGTTTGTTCATTATCAGCATTGTGAAGTCATTCAATTTTTGAATATGCCATAATCTATCCACTAAGTTGTTGTTGCTTCTTTGGGCATACTTTAATCTACAGAAACTACTGCATCAATGGAGTGCACTGGTTGACCTCAGAGCAGAAACTGATTTTAGCATGCTTATGGAGACTAGAGTTTCTATGCCAAAGCCTCAGCTGATTCCATTCCTGGTGAGGGCACTCTTCCTAACTGACACACAGAAGATTTCTCTTTGTGTTTTAACATGACCTTTCTTTGATTTGGGGGGGAAATAGAGAAAGAAGAAAGAAAAGGGGAATGTGAGAAGAAGGAAAGTCTCACACACACACACACACACACACGTGCTTGAGCCCCCCCACTTACTAGCTTTCACTTTCTTCATTCTGGAAGTTTCATTTGTTGTTGAAGTTCGTTTAGTAATGTTACTGACTTTTAAGAACAACTTGAGGATGAAGTAAAAATGCCCTGATCTCCTTTCACAGAGCTGAACTGACTTTTAAATCATGAACATTTCAAAATGCTTTTTCTCTGCATTTTCGTCAGCTACACTTTATCCCACACTATGAATATCAGTAAACATTTATGCAGTCATTACTGTTGAACCTTGTGTGTGTTGTGTGTGCCTAAGTATTTGGCTCCATATATTGAGTGGATACAAGATAGTCTGGTTTGTCATACTTGCTCGTTATTTCAAATGGAGATAGAAAATACCAATACTTATTTTTTACTACTGTGGTCTTCTTACTTTTTATTTTTTTGGTCTTTTGGGGGCAGGGTCTCCCTGTAGCCCCAGCTGTCCTGGAACTCAGGAGATGACTCACTAAAAGGGAGTATATACATAGGCCTGGGGTGCAGGCTTGTAATCCCAGCATTTTGGGAGGCTGAGGCAAGAGGATCACAAATTCTGGACTGCAGAGCGAGTTGCGAGTTCAAGGGAGCCAGGCAGCTTAGTAGGAACAGGTATCAAAATTTTAAAATTGAAAGGCAGAGGACAGGCCTAGGATATAGCTTAAAGCACTTAGCTAACATGTGAGAGGCCCTAGGTTCAGTTTCCAGGTCAGTGGGGTGCAGGTAGAGGGAAGTTTGATACAGAGTTTAAGATAAAGAAGAACTTCAGATCATGTGTGAAAGAAACCCCACAAGAGAGAACTAAAGTCTTTCAGGAGGGATGTGGTTAAGAGGGTTCATTGTGGTTTATGTTATAAGGAAGACAAGAGGCATGGTAAGCAGAATAATGTTGTTGTTTGAAGGATTCGGGGGGCTTTGGGGTGGGTTCACCTGGTACCTGGCCCTGGAACAATAGGTCAGGGAGTTAATGGTCCAGAGTGTGAGAGCTGGGCAAAGAGAGAGTTGGAGTTGTAGGATCTGGACTGGTGAGTTTGTATATGAAGGAATGCTCACAGGTAAGGAGTTTTCTATGTCTAGGAACAAGCTAGTCCCAGGAGGGGCAGTGCCTCCATGGTCAGCAAGGATGTAGATGACAAAGTTTCAGAACAGAGAAAATAAGGAACATGATTAATACAAGC